CCCCCGACCCTGGGGGACCCCCGGCTTTGGGGTCCCCTCCACACCTCGGGGTCCCCCCGCTTTGCCCCCCCCGGTTTTGGGGTCCCCCCTTGGCTCACCTCGGGGTCCCCCCGCAGTTTTGGGGTCCCCTGTCCCAGTTTTGGGGTCCCCCCGCAGTTTTGGGGTCCCCCCTGTCTCACCTTGGGGTCCCCCCCAGTTTTGGGGTCCCCCCTTGGCTCACCTCGGGGTGCCCCCGTTTTCGGGTCCCCCCTCTCACCTCGGGGTCCCCCCCCAGTTTTGGGGTCCTCCCCCCAGTTTTGGGGTCCTTCCCCAGTTTTGGGGTCCTCTGTCCCAGTTTTAGGGTCCCCCCGCAGTTTTGGGGTCCCCTGTCCCAGTTTTGGGGTCCCCCCGCAGTTTTGGGGTCCCCTGTCCCAGTTTTGGGGTCCCCCCGCAGTTTTGGGGTCCCCTGTCCCAGTTTTGGGGTCCCCCCGCAGTTTTGGGGTCCCCCTCTCACCTCGGGGTCCCCCAGCAGTGCCCGCAGCCGCCGCTGGCGCTGCCCCAGCAGGGTTTGGTGGCGGATGGGGTTACTCAGGGCCTCGGCGTAATCTGGGGCACCCCAAAAACACACCCGGGTGACCCCAAAATCCGGGGGTGACCCCAAAAAATACCTGGGGGGACCCCAAAATCCGGGGCACCCCAAAAAATACCCGGGGTGACACCAAAAAATACCCGGGGTGACCCCAAAAAATACCCGGGGTGACACCAAAATCCGAGGCACCCCAAAAAATACCCGGGGGGTGATGGGGACCCCCAAACCCGGGGTGACGGGGACCCCAAAAAAACCCGGGGGGTGACGGGGGCACCCCAAAAACCCGGGGCACCCCAAAAATACCCGGGGACACCCCAAAAAATACCCGGGGGTGACGGGGAGGACCCCAAAATCGGGGGGACCCCCAAAAACCCGGGGTGATGGGGACCCCCCAAAAACTCGGGGGACCCCCAAAAATCCGGGAGGTGATGGGGACACCCCAAAACCCGGGGGGGTGACGGGGGGACCCCAAAATCCTGGGGACCCCCCCAAAAACCCGGGGGTGACGGGGGCACCCCGGACTGGGGGAGCCCCCCCCCAAATTCGGGGAACCCCCCTCAAACGGCCCCGGGAGCCCCCCGGAGTGGGGGAACCCCACGGGGAGGAGCCCCCAAAGCCCCCCCAGGTGAGACTCGGGTCCCCCCCAGGTGTCCCCAGGTGTGTCCCCAGGTGTCCCCAGGTGTGTCCCCAGCCCCCCCAGGTGTCCCCAGGTGTGTTCAGGTGTGTCCCCAGGTGTGTTTTGGGTGTCCCCAGGTGTGTTCAGGTGTGTCCCCAGGTGTCCCCAGGTGTGTCCCAGGAGTCCCCAGGTGTCCCCAGGTGTGTTCAGGTGTGTCCCCAGCCCCCCCAGGTGTCCCCAGGTGTTCCCAGGTGTGTCCC